CTACAAATATACCCCAGCGACTTAAGTCTGCTTTTGTGCTCCAGGCTCACATATTAACATCTCATCTTTGCGTTATAAAACACAGGTGCCCACCAGTGCAGAGAAAGCCCAGACGTTCTTATTGAACAGGAACTCCAGGTTGTTGCGGCGCAAGTAAGCCAGACTGCCGATGAACGCCAGCAGCAAACCCAGCATCAGCGGCCCGGCGTAGTTCGGAGGCCTGATCACCCGGATCTGAACGACACGCGACAGCATGTTAAAGCCTGATGTGAGCATTCAGCTCAGATTCTGGATGTGTCTGCACTAGCCTCACATGCACGTCTGTTCGGTCGGCCACCCATCGAGCCAGCTGTTCGGCCGCAAAGCCTCGGACCTGCAGCTCGTACGTGTCGGCTCGCTTCGGTTTGCCTTTGGCCGGGAAGTTGATGAACGTCGGAGCCGAGTTCATGTTGAGCTGTAGAGGACATACACGATGAATGATGGAAATGATGAAGATGTTTCAGGCTTCTTAATATCAACATCAATCACAATGCAATGCAGTTTATTACAATGCCTCTGAAACAACTTACCTTTTAACACTGACCTCGCCCAGTCCTTGTGAGCAATAGGTTAATGTTAACCCACAGGCGTCACATTCAGATACATATATGCAATACATTTCTAATAGATAAGGTCAAGTCCTGCCCCAGATTATGTTGTTTCACTTCAAAACAGATCACGTTATTGAAGCAAACGCTGCTTTTCATGTTGTTTTATGCTCTGTTCTCTTTAAAACAGCAATATATGAGGTGGAGTACACACGTAAAACATATTGAAGATAGTTACCATCTGGAAAACATCTGAGCCTTCGTCAAAATCCACCGTTGCAAAGAAAATCCTGTTAGTAAATGCATTCGAATAACGCCAAGAGTTCGCAAGGATCTGGTACTCTTCATCCGCCTGTCTGAAAACGAACAAAAGTGTCAAAAAATAGCAAGTTTTATGCAACACAAATAATTGAGTGCAAAGGTTTTAGGTTTCAATGTCAAGCATGCCATTTCTGTGCAGCAGCAACAAACGGAAATGCAAAAATAGCGACGTTTGGCAATTTGGTTATTCAATTTGGTTTCCTGAACACTCTCCTCATCTGCCACCGGTGGGGAAAACTGTTTTCATTTTTATTATTAGTTACACATTTTAGTAACTCTGTTATGTGCTTTGCAAATTATTATTATTATAAATATTTCTTTATAGTTTTGAATAGCTTTAAATATTTCTATTGACTTCAACTCGTGGCCGGGGCTAAATGTTTCATTTTATTTCAGATTTGTAATAGCTTTACTATTAAACTGACAGCAGCCTAAGGAGTTACGGTGCATGTGTTCTCAGGTCTCTCACTTGCAGACTGCACACTGTCTCTGCGGCTGCAGCGCTGTGAACATGATGACGACGGAGTAGTTTCGTGGAGGGGCCCGGATCAGCCTCCTGAACTTCTCTCCGTTCATCCGGATCACTGCACGCTTACTGGCCCACTCCATCATCTGACTGACCTTCTCTGACAGCAGGGTCTGCAAACACACAGATCACACATTCATTCAGATCATGCTTTCAGCAATATGCAATCAGCATATTTATCAGTCTTTATGCAGTAAGCTCACGTTATTGCCCTATATTGCATGCATACTAGCATGAACA